TTCACCATTTTACCAAACATTAGGGTTAAGGGGGCTCAACACTTTATATGTTGCTTTATAGTGTACTTGCCTCATCACGAGCCGATGGTGAAAAGGGTTACATTTGGATAACAGGAAGATTTCTGACATTAGAGTCAACATTTGGGTACACAGACCCACCCACTGTGAGTGATGACATTTCTCAGAACAGGCTCTCCTGACTTGGAAGAACTGCCGGAAAAGGACCCGCTCATCAGCAGCCATCCATACCCCAGAAGTGGCTCTCTTTTTGGGGAGGCATCCAGGGATCTGGTCAAATGATCTTAACAAGGCCTTCTGTAGCATCTGGGTTCAATTGGGAATTTGGAACGCTGACCTCTCCATTGTAAGTGATGCAAAAGATCAAACTTTAAGGCTAGATTCCTTATTTTCTGACAAATGGCATCACTTACAGTGGGGGGAAACTGTGTTCTCTTTTGTCAGACTTCAGTTTGTGGTCCTTGGGCCTCCAGGAACCATGGTCAGGTTTACCGAAGTCTCTACATATCCAAGAAAAGGTTCTCATTACTGAGGGGGGCCTCAAGAAACAGTAGAGTCTGTGTGCCCTTTTGTCATACTGGACATTTTGGTCCTGGGAGCCTCAGAAAAGGCTCTCCTTGCCGGGTAAATCTCTAGAAATATCAACCCCCCCACCCCCCAATACAGCAGCCGCTCATGTTCTTGAAGAGGGTAGGTGTAGGGTCCACAAATTTCACTCTGACAAACAGGAACATTTTTGACACATCGATTGACAAATGGGAAACTTCTGGATGTGAGGGAACATTTTTGACATATTGGATGAATCTTTTGTGGGTATCGTGTTGGTCAAAAATGTTCCCATTTGTCATCCCAATTCAATTCATCAAAAATGGCTGCCGTCACAGCTGGAGAGACAACAAATATCCCAGAGAGACAGCCAAAATTAAATACGTCCAGTCACTAAGGTCACAGCGCTCAGGGACTACCCCTGGTGAGACGTGGGAGGAACCAGGCCACATTGTTCCAGAAGGACTTCCAGGTCGTCCTGGGTCGGTGTGGCTTTGGTTCGGAATTGTGCTGGGTGTTTTCACCCCAATACTTAGTTTTAAAACTAAACTTTATATTTGTGAGGACTTTTTAAAGCTTGACGTCTTCAGACAGAAACCAGCAGAGAGCCAAAGACAGAAAGCCTGAAAAGACTGACACACTGTTGATTTTGCTCTTTTCATGTTCAGAGTAATAAAAATAGAGTTTCTAATATATTCTAATAATTCCAGCTGTATTATTAAAGGGAACATCAGTATAAAAGTGTAAAATCCTGGACTGAGCTGATGGTGGGTTGTGTGGCAGCTTAGATGAACTTCTTGGCGGTCCTACTCTGCTCCCTGAGCTTCTTCCTCTTCAGTCGGCCCTCCTTCAGCTGCAGAAACACACTGAGTATACCGTTTCAGCACAATGTTCTCCTGGCTCCTTCTAACCTGGAGAGACATAACAGCCCACACACATGTTAATGCATCACTCCTCCTCTTCTTCAGTAAACACAGACCAAGTGCTTCACCTCAGTCATCTGAACAGACATGTGTCGGTACCTTATAGTAGAAATAAAGGGCAGCAGTCACCAACAGCAACAGCAACACCATCACCAACACCAACAGCAGAGTCAGCGGCAGGACGATCACGTTGATGAGAAGAACTGTTGAATCTGATCAAACAGATGGACAGTCATCACATCACACACCATCATGAGTCCATCAAACACAAACTGTAGAGACCTGAAATGTTCCAAAACCACTTCAGCATGGAGCTGTGGGATTCTGCCCATCAGTAATCTCTATCAACAGATATCTGAATGCAGAGTCTGGAGGCAGGGGACCAGGTTTTGGTATCTGCAGTTCTAGTTTCTGTTTGTGTTCTGACAAATCATGTATGAGCAGGATTTGGTTGCATGAAGGTAACAGTCGGTGTTGACAGCAAAAGAGGAATGCAGGGGCCTGAATGACCTCTGGATATCAGCTATGGTCTGACCATGACATCTGTTTCCTGCCTGTCTGATCTGAAGAGGGATCTCTCCTCTGGTGATCCTCCTTTTCTGTGGAGTTTGTTTGGTTCCTGTCCCACCACACCTCTACACAAAGTCTCAGTCCGCAGACACAACAATACTAGAAACCATCAGGACAAAATGCCGGACCTGGGGTGATGGGGTCTTTTCAGTTACAGCATTCCCAGTTAATCTCCTTCCCCTTTGTCCCCTCCATCTCTGTTTTGGACTAATTACTTTCATGTTCCCCTGTAGAGTGTCTTTGAATCTTTAGAAAAGTAAATGAATAAATATAATTTATTATTATTATTATCTTATTCGAGGCTCCGATTGTGTCCTTTGATGTACAGATCATAAAGCCCTTTGAAAATAATCTGATTCCTGTCTGTAGAAATAAAACTGGACTTTAATGAAACTATATGTGGGCTGACATGTGGGCGTTTCAACACCAGAGGACCTCTGCATCTCTAAGTGGGAGTTAAACATGCCCAGGCATCGCTCAATGACTGCTGTGAGCTCTCTAGCTCCATGCTAATAAATTCAGGGTGTCGTGTTCTCAAAAACCAACCCCTGTCTTTCAACTGAAAAGCCCAGAGACAAAATGGCTTCGGCTAGTGCCAGCTGGGGGGACATGGTGGAGGACCCTGATGCAGAGTTTACTGCTTCCTGCGCCCTGTTTGGGAGGAGAAGGCCATTGAGGACGATGATGTCAACATACTGTAGATCTTCTCGTAACTTCAATACTATAAAACTTTGATTAATAGCCCGTGCTTTAATTTGCTAAAATCACTGAATTGACCCTGCCTATATTTGGGACAGGCAACCATATGGGACAGGCCTTTAATTCCTCTCGCACAAATCTGAAATAAGCTACTATGAAAGAGTTTATTTATTTCAAACAGAATATTACTTGTCTAAAAATTTTCCAATAATATCAAATACACATCATTCATTTGATCTAGAGGCAGCTTATGAGCTTTTAATTTGAAGGCAGCAACATAACAAAAAAAACAACACTGTACGGGATGAGATAAGTGTGGCAGTTAGCAGACAGAGAGCTATGGACTTCATATGCCAGGATTCACAACTTGGATTCATTTTTATGAAAAGCTGTTTGGATTGTTTTGATCGGTGGACCCGTACAGACTAAAGGATGATAAATAATCAGGAACGGACACATTCGGACTTAACGAGCGCTTCAAAGTTAACTGGACTCAAATTTCCTTTTCTTTTCATCTCTTGTACCGTGCAGGTCACACCAGTAAATGTATTAGAATCAGACTTAAGGGCTTATTGTTTTTGTTAAATGGCTGGTTGAATTGTGAAGAATGGAACCAATCTAACAATGTGTAGCATGTCCATATTGACCATACATTTAAACATTAATATTTGTATTATGATCTAAGCAGCTTAGAAGCAGGTAAAGTGAGCGACCCGGCTGGGTTTAAGGGGTTTTATACATCCAAAGAACTTCCATAAAAAAACAGACCAGGAGACCTGCGTTTATTTGTCAAAATGTATTCACACACAAGGCCAGTAAATGAGGCATGCGGGCGGCTATATGGGACTCTGCTATAAATTGAAGATTTACGTTAATTTGACAACACATGCAGAAAAAATACTGCAGAATAAGGAAACAACCACTTAGATAAATATTGCAAGCAGCACAGAAGACAATGGAAACGGCACCAAAACGTACATGTTAGCTCAGTTTCCAGCGCGTTGCGCCCTCAGGGCCACCGTACATGACAGCAGTCACAGTGTCACTCAGAAACACAACATGCTTGGAAACTATCAGCTGATCGTTGACAATCAGTTCGGACGGATCATCTTTTCCAAAGCTGCATGGAAACAGTGTGACGTTTCAGCTGCTCTGCTTCAGCTTACCTGAGACAGTGAGAGACAGCCGACGGCTCTCAGAGGAGAAGTCATGAGAAAAAACATGGACGTGATAAACACAGCTGTAGTTTCCTTGGTGGGCGGGCTCTGCGGCAAGAAACAGGAAGTGGGCAGAGTGATTGACAGCTCGCTGGGTGGAGATCTGTGATGCGTTGGAGGAGGTGAAGGCGAGCTGGAAGGAGCCTCCTAGGTACTGTGGCTGGATGGAGCAGCTGATGTTTAAGGTGGAGCCCCTGGACACCTGAAAGCCCTGCTGCTGGGCCTCGGAGACCCCGTCCACGGAGGAGGACACAGAGATGTTGGGCTGAAGCAGCAGGTCTGTAAACACACAGATGATGAAAGGTCACATCAACAAAATGGCCCCTGAAGAAGGAAGTGATGTCACAGGTCTGACACGGGTAACAAACATGGAGCAGAGCGATGACAGACTGTAAAAGGAGGGACTGGATCCACCTGGTGGGACGTCCCCAAACACAGAGACAGACAGACAGACAGGTTCCTCCAGGTGTGTCCTGTCAGGTGAAGCTTCCAGAAACAAGCCCACCTCTCTACACTTTAGGACGTCACTGTCCTGGAGAACTTTACAGTTCAGTCCAATGGAAACCACTGAGACACTGAGACAGAGGAGAGGACACACTGGGGACATTACTGTCATACATGATGTCATAGAGGATGTCACTGATGGGCTTACCTGAGCAGGTGAGATCCAGGATGGAGGAAGAGGAAAATGATCTTACACACTCCCTCAGAACAGATCCAGACTGAACACAGTCTGACCTGATCCACCACACAGGTCTGACTGAGGACTCATTTCTCTCTCCTACAGAAACAGCAGAGCCACAGTCCAGATCTCTACAGACAACATCTGCTTCCTTCTGGGTCCAGCCATAGTTTTCCACTGGTCTCCAGTCTCCCTGTTTCACCTCCAGTGTTCCTGCACAGCGACTGGCTCCTCCCACCAACCTGACAGGCTCTGAACAGAAACCAGAGAGTCATCAGTAAAACAATAAAGTGAGTTTCATCAGAACAGAAATGAAGCAAATCAAAGCTGCAGCTCCTCTTCTACCTGAGCAGGTGAGTCCAACAGCTTTTCCAGGTGAGCAGGTGTTTCTAGCTGAGCCTGAGCTTCTACAGTCCAGGAGAGCAGACTCATGGCCTCCACACTGGAACTCTTTGGTCCACATTGGAGCCTCCACTTCTCCATAGAGCGCCCCCTGGAGGACTGAAGGAGCCCCACAGCCAAGCTCCCTACAGACCACCTCTGCATCCTGCTGGTCAAAGTCAGCTTCACACACTGAGGACCACCTCTGGTTAGACTTCACCTCCAGTCTGCCTGAGCACAGACTAGTCCCGTCCAGCAGCCTGACAGAGTCTGGAGAGATAACAGAAGATGAAATAGAGATAAAGACAGCAGACACAAAAGAAAAACATGTCATGAAACAACAATTCAGTGATTCAAGGTGGACTCAGCACAACTCCAACATCAGTTCATCATTAACAACAGAACACATCTTTCTACCAGCACAGACTGCAGCAAGTTCACCAGCACATTTCCATTTAATACTCTGTCACACTTGTTCTCCACGTCTGAACACTTTCAACATGTTTCCAAACAACAGCACATCATCATCTGCGAATCTGCAGATTTCTCTGCTCTGTTCCTTCTGCTCAGCTACTCCACAATCTTTGCTCTCCACACAAACAAGTTCAACACTTTTCATTCTGTCTTAATGTTCTAAGAAGATCTGGAACCCAGAAGAAAAAGCTGCTTAGAAAATGCTCCAACAGCTCTAACAGGGATAGGGGCTGGGAGAGAGAGATAGAGATCTCTCTTTTGGTCCTGGGGACTTCTGAAGCAGCGGACATGGATGAATATCTCACAAAAATGATTACACCTCATATTTTTGTATATAATATATAATAATTGATAAGATCTTTTCATGTGACAACACTGAAGAATATAGAACAATTATTTGGTGAGAATTAAAAGTCAAATCGCTTGAATCAAAAACTTAAAGTTGAAGTCGAAAATGAATCTTGTATTTAGGATTGGCGTTGGGGATTTGGGGATTGAGGATTGAGTCATGTTTGCAAATGAGGATGCGTGACCCAAAGGCTGCAGGGAGGGTTTGGAGCACGGCTGAGGCGCAGAGTTACTTTATGGACTGCAGGGGGAGCTCTGACTGCCAGCACACTGTCATGAAAGCAAGCAGAGGAAGTGAGCAGGGCTGGAGGGAGGACTATCATTTATAATACCATAACTAAAAGCGTACAGCATTTCTGTCCATTTGGCCTCACACACAAAGTCAACAGTGAAAGGAATGCTATCCATCTGACGAGAAAGCAGCGGACAGTACTGAGTGAGTGACAGAGTGTTATTCAGATGTGCAACAATTACTTCTCTCCTAATTTAGGGCATAAAGTCAACACCAGAGGCTTAGTAACGGCTTGTTAGTGTGTAAATAAGTCTGCTACTATTGATTTATTATTACTGTTTACCATAACAGTTAGGTAAATATTGTACATATCCACACTCCTTTCTATTTTCTTTGCATTTCATATTTTCACTTCTTTATCTACCATCTTTCTATTATTATTTAGACTCCTTTTGCCTTGATGTCACAGAATTTCCCCTTGGGGATCAATAAAAATATTTTTGATTCTGAAATCAGCAACCAAACTTGGTAGCACCATGACTAACATTGGGTCTGGACTAAATGTCGTTTCCAAGTGAGTCTTTGAATATCTGCGGATAGTATTCAAATGCGAAATGAGCAAGATTTTTTTTTAAATGTAAAATAATTTGTAAAAAGTTAATTTGAACCTAGACTTATTTTCAACTGCAAACCACTACAATCATTATTACTGGTTTGACTGTGACTTTACATTCACAGCTCTTTGAGTAAACTGTTTTATCTGTTTGATTCATAATTTCATCTTCAGTTATTGCCACCTGCATTTTGTCCCCATCTGCTGTTTAAAGAACTGAAAACTCAGTTTCACATCTCAGGCTCAATCAACTCAGAGCTCCTACCTCATCATCTCTCCTTTGCTTCCTAGTGTTTTCTTTGAGACTAACCTTTTGTTTCATGTACCTCAGGATCACTGCCTGCTCCTGTGCCTTACGTTTGCCTTCTGCTGGACAGCCAGCCATGCGTCCCCATTCGCCACTGCCCACGCCATCTCATCTGATTTTATTCCCAAACTTCTTTCAGATCTCCAACCTTAGTCATCTCTCGTTCATCTAATGCCCCTACACCATCACAACACTGTGGGCACAATGCATTATTTTTCATCTATTACCTCTATGACCTAAGAGGTGATAAAGCAGCTAAACTGCTCCACCTGCTTCCTCGACCCAGCTCAAGAAATTTTGAACCCCTTAGACCTATCTGTGATAAACAACTACAGACCAGTCTCCAATATCCCTTTTCCTAGTAAAGTATTTGAAAAGGATGTCTACAAACAACTACATAGCTACCTGTCCCTCCACAATCTATACGACGTGTATCAATCTGGCTTCAGGACCAACAGCAGCCCTGAAACCGCTTTGAAGTAGTCAGTGATCAAAAGATCAACAATGCTGCAAACCTGCCTAGAACTGACTGCAGCCTTAGATACTGTCAACCACAGTATTTTAATCAGTAAATTAGAAAATTCAATTGGGCAACGTGGCCGTGTTTTAAAAGGGCTCTCTTCCCATCTAACAGGCAGGACATTCTCTAACATTTACCACCAAAACGTACATGTTAGCTCAGTTTCCAGTGTGTTGCGCCCTCAGGGCCACTGTACATGACAGCAGTCACAGTGTCACTCAGAAACACAACATGCTTGGAAACTATCAGCTGATCGTTGACAATCAGTTCGGACTGATCATCTTTCCCAAAGCTGCATGGAAACAGTCAGTGTGACGTTTCAGCTGCTTTGCTTCAGCTTACCTGAGACAGTGAGAGACAGCCGACGGCTCTCAGAGGAGAAGTCATGAGAAAAAACATGGACGTGATAAACACAGCTGTAGTTTCCTTGGTGGGCGGGCTCTGCGGCAAGAAACAGGAAGTGGGCAGAGTGATTGACAGCTCGCTGGGTGTAGATCTGTGATGCGTTGGAGGAGGTGAAGGCGAGCTGGAAGGAGCCTCCTGGGTACTGTGGCTGGATGGAGCAGCTGATGTTTAAGGTGGAGCCCCTGGACACCTGAAAGCCCTGCTGGTGGGCCTCGGAGACCCTGACCCTGAAGGAGGACACAGAGATGTTGGGCTGAAGCAGCAGGTCTGTAAACACACAGATGATGAAAGGTCACATCAACAAAATGGCCCCTGAAGAAGGAAGTGATGTCACAGGTCTGACACGGGTAACAAACATGGAGCAGAGCGATGACAGACTGTAAAAGGAGGGACTGGATCCACCTGGTGGGACGTCCCCAAACACAGAGACAGACAGACAGACAGGTTCCTCCAGGTGTGTCCTGTCAGGTGAAGCTTCCAGAAACAAGCCCACCTCTCTACACTTTAGGACGTCACTGTCCTGGAGAACTTTACAGTTCAGTCCAATGGAAACCACTGAGACACTGAGACAGAGGAGAGGACACACTGGGGACATTACTGTCATACATGATGTCATAGATGATGTCACTGATGGGCTTACCTGAGCAGGTGAGATCCAGGATGGAGGAAGAGGAAAATGATCTTACACACTCCCTCAGAGCCGATCCAGACTGAACACAGTCAGACCTGATCCACCACACAGGTCTGACTGAGGACTCCTCTCTCTCTTCTACAGAAACAGCAGAGCCACAGTCCAGCTTTCTACAGGCAACATCTGCTGCCTTCTGGGTCCAGTCAGAGTATCTCACTGGTCTCCAGTCTCTCTGATGTTTCAGCTCCAGTGTTCCTGCACAGCGACTGGCTCCTCCCACCAACCTGACATTATCAGGCTCTGAACAGAAACCAGAGAGTCATCAGTAAAACAATAAAGTGAGTTTCATCAGAACAGAAATGAAGCAAATCAAAGCTGCAGCTCCTCTTCTACCTGAGCAGGTGAGTCCAACAGCTTTTCCAGGTGAGCAGGTGTTTCTAGCTGAGCCTGAGCTTCTACAGTCCAGGAGAGCAGACTCATGGCCTCCACACTGGAACTCTTTGGTCCACATTGGAGCCTCCACTTCTCCATAGAGCGCCCCCTGGAGGACTGAAGGAGCCCCACAGCCAAGCTCCCTACAGACCACCTCTGCATCCTGCTGGTCAAAGTCAGCTTCACACACTGAGGACCACCTCTGGTTAGACTGGTTAGACTGGTTAGACTTCACCTCCAGTCTGCCTGAGCACAGACTAGTCCCGTCCAGCAGCCTGACAGAGTCTGGAGAGATAATAGAAGATGAAATAGAGATAAAGACAGCAGACACAAAAAAAAACATGTCATGAAACAACAATTCAGTGATTCAAGGTGGACTCAGCACAACTCCAACATCAGTTCATCATTAACAACAGAACACATCTTTCTACCAGCACAGACTGCAGCAAGTTCACCAGCACATTTCCATTTAATACTCTGTCACACTTGTTCTCCACGTCTGAACACTTTCAACATGTTTCCAAACAACAGCACATCATCATCTGCGAATCTGCAGATTTCTCTGCTCTGTTCCTTCTGCTCAGCTACTCCACAATCTTTGCTCTCCACACAAACAAGTTCAACACTTTTCATTCTGTCTTAATGTTCTAAGAAGATCTGGAACCCAGAAGAAAAAGCTGCTTAGAAAATGCTCCAACAGCTCTAACAGGGATAGGGGCTGGGAGAGAGAGATAGAGATCTCTCTTTTGGTCCTGGGGACTTCTGAAGCAGCGGACATGGATGAATATCTCACAAAAATGATTACACCTCATATTTTTGTATATATAATATATAATAATTGATAAGATCTTTTCATGTGACAACACTGAAGAATATAGAACAATTATTTGGTGAGAATTAAAAGTCAAATCGCTTGAATCAAAAACTTAAAGTTGAAGTCGAAAATGAATCTTGTATTTAGGATTGGCGTTGGGGATTTGGGGATTGAGGATTGAGTCATGTTTGCAAATGAGGATGCGTGACCCAAAGGCTGCAGGGAGGGTTTGGAGCACGGCTGAGGCGCAGAGTTACTTTATGGACTGCAGGGGGAGCTCTGACTGCCAGCACACTGTCATGAAAGCAAGCAGAGGAAGTGAGCAGGGCTGGAGGGAGGACTATCATTTATAATACCATAACTAAAAGCGTACAGCATTTCTGTCCATTTGGCCTCACACACAAAGTCAACAGTGAAAGGAATGCTATCCATCTGACGAGAAAGCAGCGGACAGTACTGAGTGAGTGACAGAGTGTTATTCAGATGTGCAACAATTACTTCTCTCCTAATTTAGGGCATAAAGTCAACACCAGAGGCTTAGTAACGGCTTGTTAGTGTGTAAATAAGTCTGCTACTATTGATTTATTATTACTGTTTACCATAACAGTTAGGTAAATATTGTACATATCCACACTCCTTTCTATTTTCTTTGCATTTCATATTTTCACTTCTTTATCTACCATCTTTCTATTATTATTTAGACTCCTTTTGCCTTGATGTCACAGAATTTCCCCTTGGGGATCAATAAAAATATTTTTGATTCTGAAATCAGCAACCAAACTTGGTAGCACCATGACTAACATTGGGTCTGGACTAAATGTCGTTTCCAAGTGAGTCTTTGAATATCTGCGGATAGTATTCAAATGCGAAATGAGCAAGATTTTTTTTTAAATGTAAAATAATTTGTAAAAAGTTAATTTGAACCTAGACTTATTTTCAACTGCAAACCACTACAATCATTATTACTGGTTTGACTGTGACTTTACATTCACAGCTCTTTGAGTAAACTGTTTTATCTGTTTGATTCATAATTTCATCTTCAGTTATTGCCACCTGCATTTTGTCCCCATCTGCTGTTTAAATAACTGAAAACTCAGTTTCACATCTCAGGCTCAATCAACTCAGAGCTCCTGCCTCATCATCTCTCCTTTGCTTCCTAGTGTTTTCTTTGAGACTAACCTTTTGTTTCATGTACCTCAGGATCACTGCCTGCTCCTGTGCCTTACGTTTGCCTTCTGCTGGACAGCCAGCCATGCGTCCCCATTCGCCACTGCCCACGCCATCTCATCTGATTTTATTCCCAAACTTCTTTCAGATCTCCAACCTTAGTCATCTCTCGTTCATCTAATGCCCCTACACCATCACAACACTGTGGGCACAATGCATTATTTTTCATCTATTACCTCTATGACCTAAGAGGTGATAAAGCAGCTAAACTGCTCCACCTGCTTCCTCGACCCAGCTCAAGAAATTTTGAACCCCTTAGACCTATCTGTGATAAACAACTACAGACCAGTCTCCAATATCCCTTTTCCTAGTAAAGTATTTGAAAAGGATGTCTACAAACAACTACATAGCTACCTGTCCCTCCACAATCTATACGACGTGTATCAATCTGGCTTCAGGACCAACAGCAGCCCTGAAACCGCTTTGAAGTAGTCAGTGATCAAAAGATCAACAATGCTGCAAACCTGCCTAGAACTGACTGCAGCCTTAGATACTGTCAACCACAGTATTTTAATCAGTAAATTAGAAAATTCAATTGGGCAACAACAGGCAGGACATTCTCTAACATTTGCTGTTAGGTCCAAATATCAGTGCCATCAAGTACTGGATGACCCAAAGCTCTTTGCTGAAAAAAAAAAAAAAGACTGAGATCTCAGATGTGGAGAAAACCATATTAACATTATCTTACTGCTATGTTTGTCTGTTATGGTCTGTGTGTAGCTTAAAGAAACTACAAACTTTCCCGCTCTACGGAATAAAGTTCCTGTTTTGTCTCCATGTGATGAGTCCAGGTTTTGTCAACAGTGCCAGTTCAGATCAATGTAAATGGGGGGAAACAGGTCTGCGTTAAATATATAATGTTGCTTCTTAAACTGCACAACTTGGAAATTGGAGGGTCATGGCTAAGAAGCTAAATATTTATTTCACATTTTTTTAAGACTTGTTTTCAGGATGAAAAAAATGTCATGTCAAATAAATGTGTGCAGGTCAGGCCTTGTGAGGTGATGTCACTGTCTCTTTCTGTCATTACCTGGTGTAGGAAACTTCTATACATAATTGAAATCTTTGAATTCCAAAGACAGAAGAACAAAGGACAAACTACATAATCATAACTAAATTACTGAAAGAAGGCATTATTAAAAATATGGCTGAATTGGCATCCAAATTAGCCATAATATCTTTCTAATTTCAGCAGCACCCACCATTAGAAGCAATTAAGGTATAACAACACATGTCCATTGGCCGTATGATCATGTATACTAGTTAAGATAAGACTGTACTAGAGGAAATTCAGGTACAACAGCAGCAATTATATAATGTGAAAATAAAAGACACGCAGATTCTCTGTCAGACTACACCTCTGTGCTATGTATAATGAGCAAAATAAAACAAGGTAATTATAGATCATATAGAAACTCTGCAAGAAAAAATACAAGCCTTTAATGTCTAATATCTAAGTGAAAGAAAAGGTCCTGAGTCTATGTGGATCCAGAGGTTACTGAATCAGCTGTAGCTCTAATTTCCAGCTTGTGGTGTGGCCCAGTGGACTGGGACTCTGCTGCAGATGGCTGATCCAAAGCTGTGACATCAAGTGGTCCTTCAAGGAGACACTAAAACACTGATGTCAGTCACATTAATCACCATTCAGTCCCTGGTCAAATGACATCGGCAGTGATGCAGGTTGTGTCCTCTGTTTCTGATTAGCGGATGTCTATCAGGCCTCAACATTACATCCATATGTGTATGTTGTAATAATGCCATGCCAGGTCTGCCAGCTGAGACTTTAAAGCTGCGCTGGTAGCCTATGTTGTTCAAAGCACACAAACACTGTAAACACACACCTGTCACCTGCCCAGCATGGTGTTATTACCCGGAAGCAAACCTTATTATTTTTTTTTTTTTTTTACAATTTATACACACAGCCCACCTTGGGTTTAATAGCTGCATTTAAAACCTGCATGTCCCAACAGTAACGGAACTCATGCATATCAGCACAGTTAGCCTAATATAGCTAACAGGGCTGCAACTAAGGACTATTTTGATAGTTGATTATTCTATCGATTACTGAAACTAATAATCTATATTAGACCATTCGGGTTATGAATCACAAAATTACACATTGCCTGTCATTTAGATATCAGCTTTTACAATAAACTTGAGGTTTTTTAAGGCATAACAGGCTAATTAACAATCAAGACAATAAAAATACATCTTTTAATGAATGTTACTGCTGCAGCAACAGAAAGTTCCGCTAAAATCCAGTCCTTTCACGGACCAAACAGGTATACAGTGAGAAATTATTGTGTGTGCAGCGCTGTGTCAGCACTGATCTGAGCAGCTGATCTGCTGTTGAGTGACGGAGCAGCTTACATGCCGGTACTACAAAACACCAGACAAATTGACCCTATATTTATACAAAGAAAGGGATATTTTCATGTGTTACATCTGCCGAATTTACAAGGGAAGAGCAATAATAACGATTTTGTAGTAGAAAGTATTTGACAATGTTTATATAGTTTTCCCTTTACCCAACAACTCACAAAACTCAGGTTTTTTGAGTCTTTGGCAGATTAGCCGCCACCTTGGCATAGACAGGAAATATATAAATTATAGTATAAAAAATAACACCCCTCTTTGGTGTGGAATTGGCCAACCAGTGGTTAAAAATAAGTGGGCAACAACACCAACAAGATGTGCAAAATATAGCCTCCAAGTTTATTGCATTTCAGTAAATAGATATAAAAAAGGGTGAGAACAAGGCTGAAGCTAAGAAAGCTAAAAAATATGTTCTAATGGGGGAAGCTCAGGGTCAGTTAAATGGGAATCAGGCTCTTTGTGGCTGGGTGTGCTCAACTTCATTTCTCTGCGTGGGGAGAAGCCAAACAACACGACAGGGAAACGGTCTGCTGCTGTTGGTCAGAGGCTGGTTGGTTGTGGCCTCCTCACTGCTTGGGAAGTACTTGTGTTTTAACCACACCCTTGACTTTGTTCTGGTATATTGGATTTAAAGTGAACATTAAATAGTGTTCCCAAAGAATCCCTTTTTATTTGACCACTGTTTGATAACTTTTGAGTTTGTATTGCTGAACTACACGACATTAGGCAACAATTTCAATACAAATGTCTGTCTGATAGTGCTGTAGCTAAATTTAAGGATGCGATTCCATCAGCTCTAAATACATTATCTAGTCACAAAGTAACGGAGGACTCCTATGCTAATTTCAGTCCCTCTCAAATCGATCATCTTGTTGATAGTGCTGCAGGCTCGCTGCGAATGACACTCGACTCTGTAGCCCCTCTAAAAAAGAAAATACTAAAACAAAGACGGTTAGCTCCATGGTATAATACTGAAACTCGCAAATTAAAGCAAATATCGCGGAAACTTGAGAGGAATTGGCGTTCCACCAAACTGGAAAATTCTCGTTTAATTTGGCAAGATAGTCTTAAAACTTATAGGAAGGCCCTCCGTAATGCCAGAGCAGCGTACTACTTGTCATTAATAGAGGAAAATAGGAACAACCCCAGGTTTCTTTTCAGCACTGTAGCCAGGCTGACAGAGAGTCACAGCTCTATTGAGCCAAGTATTCCCATAGCTCTCAGTAGTTACGACTTCATGAGCTTCTTTAATGATAAAAGTCTAACTATTAGAAACAAAATGCACCAAGACCTGCCGTAGGCTGCTTAAAGAAGTTTTACCCTTAGTCTACGCTTCTTCTGAAAAAACCCTAACCTTGATCCAGATGTTTTAGCCAACTATAGACCTGTATCTAATCTTCCATTTCTCTCTAAGATCATTGAGAAAGCAGTTGCCAAACAGCTGTGTGACTTACCTACATAGCAATAGATTTTCAGTCAGGATGTAGAGTTTATCATAGGACAGAGAAAGCACTGGTGAAAATGACTAATTACCTCCTAATTGCATCAGACAAAGGACGTGTCTCTTTACTGGTTTTATTAGATCTTAGGGCTGCATTTGATACCATTGACCATCAGATCCTATTACAGAGACTGGAACATTTCATGGCATTAAAGGAACCACTTTAAGCTGGTTTAAGTCCTATTTATCAGATCAATTTCAGTTTGTACATGTTAACAATGAGTCCTCCCTGCATGCCAAGGTTAGTCATGGAGTTCCACAAGGATCTGTCCTTGGACCAATCCTCTTCACTTTATATATGCTTCCTTTAAGCAATATTATCAGGAAACAGTCCATAGCCTTTCATTGTTATGCAGATGAGACTCAGTTATATCTATCGATCAAGCCAGGTGAAACTCATCAGTTAGGTAAACTTCAAATGTGCCTTCAGGATGTTAAAACCTGGATGACCTGTAATTTTCTAATATTAAACAAACAGGAAAAGTCGTTTAAGTCTCACACTTAGCAAATTTCAAGCCTTTTTCACCTATGTAATATTGTAAAAATCAGGAACATCCTGTCTAAAAATAATGCAGAAAAACTAGTCCATGCATTTGTTACTTCTAGGCTGGATTACTTCAATTCCCTATTATCAGGCTGCTCGAAAAACTCCATTAAGACTCTCCAGCTGATTCAGAATGCTGCAGCATGTGCTCTGACAGAAAGAGATCATATTTCTCCGGTCTTAGCTTCTCTGCATTGCCTTCCAGTTAGATGCAAAATAGAATTTAAAAATCCTTTTTCACGCCTACAATGCTCTTAATGGTCAGGCACCAACTTATCTTAAAGAGCTCATAGGACCTTACTACCCCACCAGAGCACTGCGCTCCCAAAATGCAGGGTTACATGTGGTTCCTAGAGTCTAAAAAAAGTAGAATGGGAGCCACAGCTATCAAGCTCCTCTCCTGTGGAACCAGGTTCCAGTTTGGGTTCAGGAGGCAGACACCATCTCCACATTTAAGAGTAGGCTTAAGACTTTCCTCTTTGATAAAGCTTATAGTTAGGGCTGGCTCAGGTGAGTCCTGAACCATCCCTAACTATAAGGATTTCCCATGATGCACTGAGCTCCTCTCCCCTCTCTCCTACGAGCGCCTGGTGGCCGGGTTTGCCACGGAGCCCGGCCGGGCACAGCCCGAAAAAGCAACGTGGCACCCCCTCTCCATGTTTTGGACCCACCATCCATCGAAAGATCCGCAAGTGTCGGTTGCGCTGCCACGTGGGTGGCAGTGAAGGTCAGGGGCCTCGAAGGAGCAGACCCGGGCAGCAGAGGCTGGCTCTTGGGACATGGAACATCACCTCTCTGTCGGGGAAGGAACCAGAACTTGTGCAGGAGATGGAGCACTACCAGTTATATCTGGTGGGGCTGACCTCTGCAACCGTACTCCTAGATAGGGGATGGACCTTATTCTTTTCTGGAGTTGCTCAAGGTGTGAGGCGCCAGGCGGATGTGGGGATACTCAGTCCCCGGCTGAGCGCCGCTATGTTGGAGTTTACCCCAGTGAACGAGAGGGTCGCCTCCCTATCCCTTCGAGTATCCATCCATCCATCTTCATCCAGTTATCTGGGGTCGGGTCGCGGGGGCAGCAGCTCCAGCAGGGGACCCCAAACTTTGCTTTCCCGAGGCACATTAAGCAGCTCTGACTAGGGGATCCTAGTCCTGGGTCTTCCCCGTGTCCTCCTCCCAGATGGACTCTTTGAGTAACTCCTAAATCCGACTGACACGCCCTCTCTCGTAGAGGCAGAGCTGGAGGTTGATGGGGGATAGTCGTTAATTTCCCTGGTGGAAGTCACTGAGGTAGTCAAACAACTCCATAGTGGCAAAGCCCCAGGGATTGATGAGATACGCCCAGAAATGCTAAAAGCATTGGGTGTGGAGGGGCTGTCTTGGATGACACGTCTCTTTAACATTGTGTGGAAGTCGGGTACAGTGCCCAAGGAGTGGCAGACTGGGGTGGTGGTTCCCTTGTTCAAAAAGGGGTCCAGAGAACATGTGCCAATTACAGGGGTATCACACTTCTCAGCCTCCCCGGTAAAGTCTACTCCAAGGTGCTGGAACCGAGGATTTGGCCGATTGTCGAACCTCAGATTGAAGAGAAACAATGCTGTTTTCATCCCGGTCGTGGAACAACAGACCAGCTTTTTACTCTCACAAGGATCCTGGGGTGGGCTTGGGAGCTCACAGTACATATCACATCAATGGGGTAAATACCTAGGGAAGGAAGCAAGAGTTAACAAAAAGTGCAATCAATACAAGATCATTGTAGGGGAGATACTGTGGGAGGGTGAGGGGGGCCCTTCTCAGGGCTATCCAATCCCTGTATATCCAAAGCGAGAGCTTTGTCCAAGTACTCGGCAGTAAGTCGGGCTCTTTCCAGGTGAGGGTTGGCCTTCTCCAGGGCTGCGCTTTGTCACCATTCCTGTTTGTGATCATCGGTCCGTGACCTTCAGCTTGCACTGCATCGGTTTGCAGCAGAGTGAGAAGCGGTTGGGGATTAGCACCTCTGAATCTGTGGCCATAGTTCTCAGCAGGAAGTTAGTGGAGTGCCAACTCCAGGTAGGGAATGAGTCCTTATCCCAAGTGAAGGATTTCAAGTACCTAGGGGTCTTGTTCACGAGTGAGGGGAGACTGGAGCAGGAGATTGGCCGGAGAATCGGAGCAGCATTGCACTCACTTTACTGTACCGTTGAAACAAAAAGATCTACCCGTCAGTTTTCATTCCTACCCTCACCTATGGTCATGAAGGCTGGGTCATGACCGAATGAATGAGATCGCAGGTTCAGGCGGCCGTAATGGGTTTCCTCAGGCAGGTGGCTGATGTCTCCCTTAGAGATAGGGTGAGAAGCTCGGCCATCCGCGAGGAGCTCAGAGTAGAATATAATTGAATATTTAGAAAAATGTGAGGGGTATACTTACTTTTGTGAGATACTGTATATCTTGGTACATCCAGCAACTGATTTACTGAGGCAGCAACCTGGGTACATCACTGTCATAGATGATGTAACTAATGGGCTTACCTGTGCAGGTGAGATCCAGAATGGAGGAAAAGGAAAATGATTCTGAACACTCCCTCAGAGCAGATCCAGACTGAACACAGTCAGAGTTGATTGACCACACAGGTCTGTCTGAGGACTCCTTTCTCTTTCCTACAGAAACAGCAGAGCCACAGTCCAGATCTCTACAGACAACACCTGCTGTCTTCAGGGTCCAGTCAGAGTCAAAGTAACTCACTGGTCTCCAGTCTCCCTGATGTTTCAGCTCCAGTGTTCCTGCACAGCGACTGGCTCCTCCCACCAACCTGACATCATCAGGCTCTGAACAGAAACAAGAGAGTCATCAGTAAAGAAGTGAATTCAAGAGACTAAACTAACACTTGACTGCTGATTCTGCTTCTTTGATTCAATCTTTCTCGTTTCTTTCTCTGCACAAACACAAGTCAATAACTACAGCTGCGTGACTCTGCAGTTACGAGATTAAACTGCTGCTTTTTGCTCACAAATGAAGAAAAGTTCCTCGTTCTCAAAGCAAAAGTAATTTGTGCACCTGAAGCACCAGGAGTGCAGAATTATCTTGTACGCACAAATTGTCATCTTGTAGGAATAAGAAACTGCAAGTTAGTTATGATGTTGTGGACCTCAACTTTGGGAAATTCTCTCTAACCGGCTCATTTCAACAGGTTTACATGGATTCATTTAAAAAAAACTAAAAAAACATTTTTGTCATACTGCACATTGCTGCAGCTCCTCTTTTCACCCTGTGTTGAACTCTTCCTTTTAGCTACAGAGCGAGGCATTTTACTTGTATAAATCTTTGTTGGGAGTACTACATGGTTACTAGGTAATTTCTCCCTGCTCAAAACAGCTCAAGTTCTTGAGTTAGTGTCAAACCTAAGGCCACGACCAGCAAACAGGATCCAATGCCGACTGCCTTGGTCAAGGCATGTCTTCTAGCTCTGGGTCCCACACTGGTCAGCATCATCAACACCTCGTTGTCTTCTGGGGTGATCCCCACCAACTTTAAAACTGCGGCGATGATCCCTACACTCAAAAAACCTGGCCTGGACCCAGATGACCCAAACCACTACCGACCAATCTCCAGCCTACCCTTTATATGCTTCCAAAGTTATTGGAAAGAGCTGTGGCTGCCCAACTTAATCATCATATTATATGTCACAACCTCTACGAGCCATTTCAATCTGGCTTTAGGACGCATCATAGCACAGAAACTGCCCTCATTAAAATCACAAATGACCTCATGGCAGCTGACTCTGGCCAAGTAAGCATCTTAATTCTTCTCGACCTTTTTGCAGCCTTTGATACAGTCTCCCATTCCTCTCACTCGCCTCTCCGAACTCATTGGCCTCACTGGTACTGTGTATTCCTGGTTTCAATCCTATCTCACCAACAGGCAACCACACATCACCCTTAAGGGCATCTGCTCTGATATGGCGCCAGTCTCACATGGCGTGCCTCAAGGATTGGTGCTTGGCCTGGTACTATTCAATATATACATGCTACCTCTTGGGATGATCATCTGGAAACATGGACTCCTCTTCCACTGCTACGCTGATGACAACCAGCTCTACATCAGCACTAAGTCATCTACTCCCCTTCCACCAATGTTGCTTGTTAACTGCCTGAAGGACATAAGGAATTGGATGGACAGTAACCTCCTCAAACTCAATAAAGACAAAACAGAACTCATGGTGCTTTCCCCACAGTCACTTCTCAAAAAGGTTGGTGACATCACACTGGACATGGATGGCTGCTCAATCTCTGCATCCCCTCAAGTCCGCAACCTGGGAGTCATCATGGACTCTACTCTCTCCTTCCAACAGCACATCAAAAACACTGATAAAACTGCCTTTCCTCTCCAGCTCTGTAGCTGAGACCCTCATCCACTCTTTCATCACCTCCCGACTTGACTATAAAGGTATCCTGTTCAGTCCGCCCAGAAAGGCTACTGACAGATTCCAGTATGTCCAGAACTCTGTGGTTAGGATGCTCTCCCACACAAAACTTGGATTTCACATCACTCCCATCCTGAAGAAGCTCCACTGGCTGCCAGTTAAGTCCCAGATCAAATATAAAATCCTCCTACTGACGTACAAATCGCTACATGGACTTGCACCTCAGTACCTCACAGATCTACTCCATCCCTACACTTAGTCATGGTCCCTGCGGTCCTCTGACAAGGACCTGCTTGCTCTCCCTCATTCCAGGCTCCGGACATTTGGTAACAGAGCTTTCTGTGTCAGTGCATCACTGTGGAACAAGCTTCCTCTTGCCATCCACTCTGCCTCCTCTATAATAACCTTTAAAACCCAGTTGAAACCATATCTCTTCACTGAGGCCTATGGGCTTGTATTTCCTCTGGCCGCACACCTCTCACCTCTTTTCTTTCTTTCTCACCCTGTTGTTTGTTAAGCATCCTTGGGTTTGTGAAAGGTGCTATATAAATCAAAGTTATTATTATTATTATTATTATTATTATTATGATTAAGGACTACTAGCCAATAAGTAGTAGCGTAGGGCAGGTCGTGAGAAACCGGTAAACAAGGCTTCAGTTCTGTACATCCCCTTACCATCTTAGAAACATGGACTGGAGCAAGAGTTTCAGAGTGGTGAGTTATTAATCTGTAAAGAATGGATCTTTCATCCATAAAGTTTTAACTGAGCTCTGTCTCTACATCACAGGAACAACTTTATGTCCACTGACTGCCTGGAAGGTAGCTAGTGTTTGGAAGGGAGAGGAGAGCTGTGTGCTGCAGCTCACTGTTTCTGAGGACGTGTCGGAGTAGCTGTTTGGCAAGCGTTATGAGGCTTGTTTAGCTTTCATCCCTGTGATGTCACAGGGAAGTGGCTGGACTACAAACGAGCTGTTTTCTGTGGGAGATGGGCACTTCCCTTGGGGTGGAGTTTGGTGGCTTTTTCACTTTGCAAACCTATTACGTGTACAAAAAAGGAATATAACTCAATAAAGGAGAGGGGAAAAGGTAAAAAGCAGAACATGACCTCTTTAAGTTAAAAATGGCTAACTTCCTGTTGGGTTTAAGGCATCGCCAGGGGCAGACTAGAGCACAAATTCAACCCTGGTACTGTTGCCACACACCCCCACTGACACACTACTTACATTTGTATACAGAAGGTGATGGTATACCTTTCTTCTTATTCCACTTTGGAGAATTCTATAATAGAGTCCATCCATCCATCAACAACCACTGATCTGGGGTCAGGTCACGGGGCAGCATTTCCAACAATTGGAGCCAAATCTCCCTTTCCTGAGCAACATTAACCAGCTTTCACAGGAGGATCCTGATGCGTTCCCAGGCCAGTGTGGAGATATAATCGCTCCACCTAGTCCTGTGTCTCCCTGAGGCCTCCTCCCAGCAGGACGTGCCTGGAAAACCTCCTTAGGGAGGATTCTAGTTCTTTTGGTCATGACCAAGCCTTCATGACTTTAGGTTAGGTTAAGAACGAGATGTACATGTTTTTCAGTGTGGGTGTGACAGGGTAAAAATGGGGTTGGTTGTGCGATGCACCTGGAAGCCGATCTGTTTTTTACTAAAGATACTGTGTTCACTTGGGAAGTTTAATAATCTGTTGTTTAAAATGCTACAGAATAACTTCCCCAGATTACTGCTCACACAGATCCCTCTGTAGTTGTTGGGGTAAGATTTATCTCCACCCTTATGGATGGGAGTCATAAGACCTGGACTCACAGTGCCAGGAAAACAGCCAGATAATAAATAATCTCTCTCTCTCAGAGATTCGAGTGTACACGGTGAGTTTCTCGAATGCAGCCTGGTGATCAATGGAAGTTTATCTTACCGTGAACGAGCAGCATAAAGAGCAGGAACATGTTGCTGTGACAAACACGAAGCCTCTCTCGTTTCCTCCTTAATGAAGCAAAGATTTTAAACATGAAGGTCTGCTGCTGCTGATAGTCTACTGACGCCTAAAGAAAACTGCCACAGCAGCATGTACATCTGCTCATTTCAGCTCAGCACAGAGAGAGAGAGAGGCCTCAAACCTGACCCCCCCCCCCCCCACACAGAGAGAGAGAGAGGACCTCCAACCTGACCCCCCCCCCCCCACACAGAGAGAGAGAGGACCTCCAACCTGACCCCCCCCCCCCCAGAGAGAGAGAGAGAGAGAAGACCTCCAACCAGAAAAGTGGGTAGTGGGGAACCTGGAGACTGGTCAGTGATTCTGCCTCTCCATGAGTGTCTCCTTCTTGGTTTTGCTTTGTTCAAGATATTTTGGAGGTCAACTAAGAATTACTGCGGAAAAGACAACAGCAAAAACCACCAGGCAGCATAATTAAAATGAGGGGTTTGCGTGTTTTGATAGTTTCCCCTGTGGAGAGTCGGAAGGGAAAGCAGCCTGACATTAAGTGTAACATGAAATCAGATGCCATGGAATAAGAGGTGTTGGTGGAAGAGAAACATAGTGGCAAGCTGCAGCATAAGAATGTTAAAATAACAAGAAAAAACACCATATGGGACAGGATCTGGGAGAAAGTAAATGCTGTTGTTAAAACAAAAAGGATCTCAGAAGAAATAAAAAGAAGATGGCATGCTCTGACCATATACACTCACCTAAAGGATTATTAGGAAGACCTGTTCAATTTGTCATGAATGCAATTATCTAATCAACCAATCACATGGCAGTTGCTTCAATGCATTTAGGGGTGTGGTCCTGATCAAGACAATCTCCTGAACTCCAAATTGAATGTCAGAATGAAAGAAGGTGATTTAAGCAATTTTGAGCGTGGCATGGTTGTTGGTGCCAGACGGGCCGGTCTGAGTATTTCACAATCTGCTCAGTTACTGGGATTTTCACGCACAACCATTTCTAGGGTTTACAAAGAATGGTGTGAAAAGGGAAAAACATCCAGTATGCGGCAGTCCTGTGGGCGAAAATGCATCGTTGATGCTAGAGGTCAGAGGAGAATGGACCGACCGATTCAAGCTGATAGAAGAGCAACTTTGACTGAAATAACCACTCGTTACAACCGAGGTATGCGGCAAAGCATTTGTGAAGCCACAACACGCACAACCTTGAGGCGGATGGGCTACAACAGCAGAAGACCCCACCGGGTACCACTCATCTCCACTACAAATAGGAAAAAGAGGCTACAATTTGCAAGAGCTCACCAAAATTGGACAGTTGAAGACTGACTCATCAGACCAGGCAACATTTTTCCAATTTCTGCTGTAACATTCAGATGGTAGAGTCAGAATTTGGCGTAAACAGAATGAGAACATGGATCCATCATGCCTTGTTATCACTGTGCAGGCTGGTGGTGGTGG